CACAACCCTAGTTGTGGAGTTTAGTTACTCATAATCATATGAATACAATTCAATGTTGTAGATGAGAGAATTATAAGCTTACGTAACAAGAGTAATAAACCCAGAAATTCAACTTGAATTGCAACTCCAAAATCTTCAAAACGATCTAAGGAAATTAATAATTGCTAAAGTTGCAAGTTAATTTCTCAAGTCAAGAACTAGAATAGAATAATAATGTCCAACCCCTAAAAATGAGGTTTACATGCCATATTTATAGAAAACAAGTCCTAAATTAAAAGGTAAACAAAATAAGGAAAATTTGTCACAGGCACACGTCTTCATTCCACGAGACTGACTCACGGACCGTCAATGGATCCACGGTCCGTGAGTCCCTTCCGTCAGCCAAGACTTGGAAAATATTTCAGCTTCCAAAACTCAGTTTCTCTAAAGCAAACGACGGAACTGCAGTACGGACCGTAGATAGATCTACGGTCCGTCAATCCCTCTCCGTAGCTCCATACTTCGAATTTTTAAAAATTAGGTACTGGAACCCTCGCAGTATCCATCTACGGATCAACAGTATTGATCTACGGACCGTCAATGGTCACAGTGGTTCCACACTTGGTCAGATTTCCTTGATTTGCCTTCCATGCCTTGGCTGCTGATCTACGACTACCATCTACGGAGCGTCAATGGACCTACGGTCCGTAGATCACCTCTGTAGATGCCCTTTTCTGCATTTCTTTCAACTGTCTCTTTAATTCCGCGCCTGAACATCTTTCCTGCAAAATATGATAAAAACACATGAAAACTAATACAAAAAGGCCCTAGACACGCACAACTTGTAAGTGAAATGTATTACAAATACCGTAAACTCACGGTATATCAACTACCGTAGAATCTTTCAATTTGTAATTAATTATTTATAATTTTTTTGTTTATTTACATTGTTGTGTAACTACCGTAGAATCTATCCAATTGTAATTATTTAAATAATTATTTATTATTGATTATTGGGAAAAGGGTCTGATATACCCCTCAACTTTGCTATTTGGAGCTGATATGCCCCTCGTTATGAAAGTGGCTCATATATACCCTTACCGTTACACAAACGGCTCACATGTACCCCTACCGTTACAAAATGAGCTCACATATACCCTTCATTTAACGGAAGTGAAAAAATTAATTTTAAACTTATATTTTTGACTTATAATTTTTTTAAAAAAATCATTTAGGGGTATATAGGATTCTTCTAGCAAAGTTCAAGGTATATTTCAATAGTTTTCATACATAAATTATTTTTTGACTTCTTTGATTTTCATTATTTTAGTTTCTTATTCTTATTTTATTTTTTTCTTTCATTCCTTAGTGTAAAGAAAAAAATTTAAAACTATTTTTTTGTGGCTATATTATAATTTAAAACAATTTTTTTTGTCAATATTGTAATTTAATTTTTGTATTTGAAGAAAAAAAATTGGTCATCTATAATAAGTTTTACAAGAATATTAGTGAAACATAAATAAATTTGACCATCAAAATAATAAATCTAAATTAGTCATTGAAACAAAAAAAAAGT